CCCCCCCCAAAAAAAAAACAAACAAACAACAACAACAAACAACCAAAAGCAGGGCACTGGAACACACAGAGAATTTGATCTACCACCCATGTCACCTCTCAGAGGCAAACTGAGTTGTTTTTGTCAAGTTCTGTTTGTTTATTTGTTTGTTTGAGTAAAGAGAAACACATCCACACAATAACCGCCATTTAGTGGTGGGAAAAGGTAACACAGACAGACAGACAGAAACAACAGAGGGAAAGTACCGAAATAGGACCTACGATTGGCGCCCTCAATTAACGGCCTCGTCAGTCAAGGGTTTACGGCACATACAACACTATACATTAATAAAGATGCACAAGAGTAGAGTGAGAGTAACGTGTGAGAAATGATAAGATGAACGAAGGGAAAACACAAACAAATCAAACAAAAACAACAACAAAAACACTCCACACAAAAAGCAAAAAAAAAAAAAAAGAAAAAAAAAGCCCTTCTGACCTCCCGGTAACCTGCCGTTGACACCTATGTCAGTGCCAGGATCTAGACAATAAAGAAGTATCTCGTCTTACCTTATACTGTCTTATCTTATCCTACCTTAGCTCATCTTATCTTATCTTGTCTGGTCTTATCTTTTCTCATCTCATCTCATCTTATTTTATCTTATCTTACCCGATCTCATCTTATCTCATCTTATCTTATCTTATTTGCGCTGAAGATTAAAAAAAATAGTTGGTTTCCATGCTTTTCAGATTATTATTTGCGCTACAACTCCTGCCACTACGGAAGGAACGACTGAATTAATATTCTCCGTTCCACGCACGGTCTATCATTATCAAGTAAGTCCAGTTTGTCACTGTGACCTCGTAGCACATTATGATGGATCCCAGTGGTGACAGCCGAGAATGACGCGATCTCAACACCGTAAAGATAACATTTCCACGCTGGGTCACTTACAGGGTCAGAGCGAGTTAGCGAGTGGTTGGTGCGTACTGTGATGCGGTTTGATCAGGACTTCTTTCCTATCAAAACACATCTATCGTTCTGCTCTCTCCTCTTTCTTCTGGGTGTTTGTTACCCTCTTATAGAAACATCTCTAGTTTTCGGCACGTATAAAAATATTACCTTATTGTGTCGCAAGTGCCGTAAAACTTTAACCAAAATAGCGAGTTGGTTCATTTTAATGCTTTCAGGAGGAGGTGCCTCCGATTTGACGTCCATCTCCGACAGAATCAAGCAAGAATCACCCCAGAAACAGCTCAAATTAAAAAACGATCCGTGTAGGGATTATCTGAACCAGGAGTAATCTACATCCATCATTACACAAACTGAGACATCTAACGGCCTGCCCCCC